TTTGCTTCAAAAACATTTGAGAACAGTGGGTAGGCTATAGGTGAAACAAAATTGGCTATGAGTAGATAACCAAAGTGGGCGAGAAAGTGAAAATTAGCTCAGGCAGGCTAAGAAAAAACGCTGACATTCATCAGGCTGGCAGGACAGACATAGGTACAAAGTTTCCATGAAACAATGTTCTTCCCCGGGGCAGCTGCAGCGAAGAGTGTCATACCCACCCCCTTCTTTGCGTGACTGCTGCTTTCTGACTCACCGAGAAACCTTGTTAGACCATCAGAAACTTTGCTGTTTGAAATTTTATCAGTAAAAATGAAACACCCCTCTGTTGCCAGGAGGATCTAAGTCACTTTGACACAGAAGTGGTCTCGATTTGCAACCTGGGTTTGGAGCTCCAGATAAGGGGCTTCTGACCACAATATTCCACATTTGTCTTGACTTTGTACTTTCCAAGGAGATGAACCGGGTCTGCTGCGCAGGTCAGACCAGATGTTGACTCCTGCTTTGCTTTAGGCCTATCAAAACACGGCTGCATTTAATTTTTACCTAAATTCTGTCCTTCCCCCAAATCCTGTAACTGGCTCTTTGCCTTTTTGGTGAGACACCCCCCATAGTTCCTTTGTGTGTGGTCCCCGTTGTTGCAATGAGTTAATAAGTCTGATTTTGTCAGACTGCAGGTTTGTTTCTATGGTCTTAGGCTGTTTAAACCAGGACATGGGTAATGGGGATACAGGAGATCTTTGTACTATTCCCTCAGCTATAGCAAATGATTCATTTTCTGTCACATTTCGAAGTTTTATAAAAGTCCTTACCCTGTGATAACAGCACCAGCCATGACAGTGTTTGAGATCTGTGGAAGGCAGACTAATAACCCCCACAGACATCCGCAACCTAATCCCTGGCACCTATGAATGTTATCTTAATAGCAAAAGGGACTTGGCAGGTGTACTTAAGGCTAAAGACGGTGATGAGTATCCTGGAGTATCCAGGTGAGTTCAATGTAATCATGTGGATCCTTAAAAGCAGAGAACCTTTCCTGGCTGTGATCAGAGAGATTCGACACAATGGAAGAAGAGTCAGAGATGCAATGCTGCTGGTTTTGAAGATGAGGAAGGGGTCGTGAGCCAAGGAATGTGAGCAGCCTCTAGGAGATGCAAACCGTTAGGAAACAGGTTTTCCTCTGGAAACTCCAGAAAGGAACACAGCCCTGTCGATTATGTGACTTTAGCCCAGTGAGAACCATGTCAGAGTTCTGACCCACAGAACTGGGAGGCAGTAAGTCTGCGCTGCTTTTAAGCCACATTTGTGGTCGTTTGATATGGCGGCATCAGAAAATGAATTCAAGATCGCCCAGAGGAGTGAGGAAAGAAATGAGCCAAGGGTGCCTGGGGCCACCAACACTTCAGAGGACGAGTCAGCCAAGGAGACAGAAAGGGAGACACCAAGCAGTGCAACGGCCAGAAGAGACCAACGAGGAACAGTCCCAAGGAGGAGAAAGCGTCCCGAGTGAAACTGCCTCTTCTTTAAGGGAGGGCTGAAGCAGGTCAAACAACCTTGGGAATTTAAAGCTCACGTCATTTCCTTGCTTCTTTCTCCCTGTGAGCCCAGCATTTGCATAGAACAAACAGCCTCTTTCCCCTGAAACTATCACCTTCTCCCTCATGTTGAAAGCCTAAGAGTTTGAGAACTTTCACAACCTCAACCCGTATTATAAACCCATTAAGGTAATATTCTGGTTCCAGAACAGTAGGTTTTAGCACATCGTAAGCCGGAAAGAAATGTAGCTATTTTTATATGTTAATTCAAGTTATTTGACTCTGGGGGACAGCCACCCAGACTGGCCTGACAGTGCAGGCCTGATCACCATATTTCAACATGCCTCCCACGCCTACCCTTCCCCTGAGACTTAAGGTCCAACGCTACTTCTCATTAAAATATTTACTTTGTCTCCAGACCATCTCAGCTACCAATATGGAAAATGGCAAATTATTTCGCCCAGGTGAGACTGTTGATGGCTTTGACTATCTTAGAGAATATATACATTCTAAAACACAATGTTCACAAATGGATAGAAACGCTGGGTTTGTAGATTTTTCAGGCTTTAAGACTAAGTGATGAATGCACAGAGGAGTATGTTCTCAAGTTAAACTCACTAACCTCAGCTGGTTTTGACAGTCTGGGCCTAAGGTCTCATTCTCACATGAAGACCTAGGCACACAGCTTTTTTCTCTACCTGAATGCTCTACCCCATTCATTCTTCAGAACTCAGCATCTTCATCGGGGGCTGTCCCAGATTACGTGGTCCCTTCTGTTGTAGGCCCCCACAGTACACCTGTACTTCTTTTTGAAACACTCACCACACCTGCAATTATTTGTTCTGTCTCTCACCTTCTCCGTTAGATGACAAGCTCTGTGAGGTGAAGACAAGGTCTGCCTTCTGCTGTATCCACTGCTATCTCCTTGGTCTCTAGCTCATTGTGGATGCTCATACTTGTTGAGGAATGAATAAATGAATGGAGGGTGAGGGCTGAATGCTCTTACTCTGGGTTTACAGGTGATTTCTACATTAGTAGTTCCTGGAAACTTAAATGGGAGTTAAACATTAAAGCTAAAGGAACAAAACCAATGAGTTTCCAAAATACACCTAACACCCTGTACTCAATCCTGGTGTTGTTCAAAGCCTGGAGCAGCAAACACAAGAACACGCGGGACAGATTTTCGACATGGTGCCAAGACAATTTAACAGGAGAAAAGATTAATCTTTCTAAAAACTAGATTTGCACATGTAAAAGAATGAACTTGAATCCCTTCCTTACACTATACACAAAAATTAACTTAGCCCAGCTAGGCATGGCTCAGCGGTTGAGCGTCGACCTAGGATCCAGGGGATCGGGGTTCGATTCCCGGTCAGGGCACATGCCCAGGTTGCAGGCTCGATCCCCAGTCGGGGGCGTGCAGGAGGCGGCCGATCAATGACTCTCTTATCATTGATGTTTCTATCTCTCTCTCTCCCTCTCCTTTCCTCTGTCTGAAATCAATAAAGATATATTTTAAAAAAAAGAAAAAAAAATTAACTTAAAGTGGGCCATAGACCTAATGGAACAGCTAAAACAGTATGGCTCTTAGAAGAAAATATGAGATGCTTGTGACCTTGGGTTATTCAAAACTTTCTTAGACATGACGCCAAAAGGAAAAGTGGCAAAATAAATTTGACTTCATCAAAATTAAAAACTTCTGTGCTTCGAAGGACACTAGCAAAATGAAAATACAGCCCACAGAATGGGAGAAAATATTTGTAAATCATGTATGTGAAAAGGACTTGTATCTAGAATATATAAAGCACTCCTGCAACACAACGAAAGCCAAGCAGCCCAACTGAAAAACGGACAGAAGGTTTCAGTAGGCATTTTTCCAGGTAAGATATACAAATGACCATAAGCACATGAAAAGATGCTCAACGTCATTAGCCATCAGGGGAATGTTATCAAAACCATGATGAGATACAGCTTTACACCTACTAGGATGGCTATAATTAAAATGACAGCAAGTGTAAGCTGGGATGTGGAGAAACTGAATCCTCACACTGCTAGAGGGAATGTAAACAATGCAGCCACTTTGGAAACGTTTAACAGTTCCTCAAAAAGTTAAACACGGAGTTTACCTTTGACTCAGTAATTCCATTCCTCAGGAAAAATTGAAACATAAAGCCACACAAAAACTTGTATATGAATCTTCAAGTTATTCATAATAGCCAAAAAGTGGAATCTGCATGTCCATTAACAGATGAAGAAACAAAATAGAGTATATCCATAAAACGAAATATTTAGCTATAAAAAAAAAAAGTACTGCTACACTACAACATGGTTGCACCTTGAAAATGAAAGACGTCAGTCACAAAAGGCCACATATTACGTGATTTCATTTATATAAAATGTCAAGAATAGGTACATCTATTGAGACAGAATTCGATCAGTGGTTGCCTAGGGCAGGACTGGGGTGACTGGGGGTTGTTGGGGGCGGGAGATAGAGAGTGATTAATTGGCATGGCATTTCTTCTTGGGCTGAGGAAACATTTTAAAACCGATTGTGGTGATGGTTGCACAATCCTATGACTATAGTAAAAACCACTGAATATTCACTTTAAAATGGGTGCTTGTATATGGTATGTGAATTATATCTCAATAAGCTGTTAAAATTTTTTAAGTAGAATAAAGAAATGCTGTACTGTTATTTCAAAACATCACATTTGTTGGGAGCCCAGTCCCACACTCATTTTCCCAAGCATGAAGGAAAACGGGCTTCTGTCTTCCGCGACAGTCTAGAGTCCCAAGTTCACTCATCTCCCTGTGGGCCTGCACAGCTGTCAAGAGCTCAGGGTAGAAATTCTGCTCACTCATGGACCTGCACGCTTCTTGCAACAGAGCACCTTGATTTTATTGAGCCATATACTTTTCTCTCTTAATAATAAATTGTCCTTGAAGCTTGAAGTGCAGCATAAAAAATTTTCTTTCTTCCCAGCATAGACAGATCCCTCCATTACATCACCTGAAGCTCACTAGGTAAGGTGCTTGGAGCAGGCCACAGTGCCAGGATGACCAAACTCTAAATGTCAGATGCTGAGCTTTTGGGCTCCTGATCTGTTCTTTCCCCACCTCCCTTTTTCCCTTTTGTCCAAGATCTAAATCTCTACCCCATCCCCCACACCAAGAGTGCCGGATAGAAAGAGATAGAGGAGCTTCCTGGAGTTTGGGCTCCACATCCTGGTTCTGGGGGCTCATGCTTGAGTACCCACCCACTCCTGAGCCACTTACTTCCCTTCTTCATGCCCATGGGAGGGCCTGGGTAGGGTCCTGGAAGCAATTCTGTCCTGTCATGTCCAGTTGGTGAAGCATTCAATACAAAGAAAAGCTAAGACTTTTCCCAGGTGAAAATGGCTATTTTAGAGGGGAGTTCAGAGCAGGCCAGTAGATACATGCTAAAATAAATGAACGGAATTAGCAAAATAAGCAAAACTTAAATAAACTTTATTTTAGAAGACTTTGAGATATAAAAGAAGACCATGGCAAAGTCTAAGGTAACAGAAACCGCACAGTGTCGTGTCAGGGCACTCTAGGAGCAAAAGGAGACAGGTGTAGGGATGGAAAGGTGGTTGACTCGGTGTTTTCTAGCTTCAGAGTCAGAGAGCCCAGATCACAGCCAGGACATCCTGGTATTGGTTACAAACTATTTACAAAGGTGTATATCTGTGGGAAAGAGAAAACCCAAAAGTTAAATTTCACATTTTCAGTAGACTATACAATAGTCCATCCACAATGCATAGGTGGCCAAGGCCATGCATGTCTCTTGTGAAGAAGGGAGAACAGGTATAGAGGAAATGTGACCTGCCCAGGGCCACATGGCATCAAGTGGCAGAGCCAGAAATAGAATCCAGAAGTCTCAGTTCCCTAGTTCTAGAACACCTTAGAGGAGGAAGTTAGTTGGGAAGTATGTATTACAAGTCAATTATTTAACAATTATTAGCCCAAAATACTTTAGCATATTGAGATTATATCTGTAACTTGTACAAGGTTCCATAGGCTTTGGAATGTGAAATGCAATTTGAAGCATAAAGCACAAAACCCATTATATTGAGGTCTGAAGCAAAGATAAAAGTGCAATAAAGGAAAACCACTAGAAAGCAGTTCAGGTCCTTCCCACCTTTTTCATGAGTTCTTTTTGTTTGGTTACTTCTTCAGAAAAATCATCATTAACATCCAACACCAGCACTGGAACGTTCAATAGAGACTCAAAGTGGAGCCTATAAGAAGCATGAACATTTAGAAAACAGAAAAAGAAAACTGAGCCACGCTTCACATACTCACTAAGTCTTAATAATTCAGAGAACAGATCTAAAGTCACATGGTTTCTCAATGAAATGGCATGTAAACAGTTTTTAAAAAGAATTCATGAGGGGCTCAGTGAAAAATGTGAAGCAATTAAGCAAAATCTACCAACCAACCAACCAACCAACCAACCAACCCACAAAAACTTCGGGCACAGGCAACAGTGTGGAGATTCCCAGGGGGAGGCAGGGTCGGGGGGTAGGAGGGGCACAGGAGGGGTAAATGGCAATGGAAGACTTGCCTTGGGTGGTGAACACACAGTACAATATACATATGACGTATTTTAGAATTCTCCACCTGAAACCTATATAATTATAGTAACCAATGTCACCCCAATAAATTCAGTAAAGAAGTAATAAATAAATAAATGAACAAACCAATTCACATATTTTAAATTGTGACCAGATGCAACAAAATTCTGTCACCTAAAGAAATATCATTTAGCCCTGGCTGGGTGGCTCAGTTGGTTGGAGCACTGTCCTGTATACCAAAAGGTTGTGGGCTTGATTCCTGGTCAGGGCACACGTCTACATTGCAGGGTTCGATTGCTGGTCAGGTCGGGGTGCATAGGAGAGGCAAGTGATTGATGTTTCTCTCTCACAACAATGTTTCTCTTTCTCTCTCTCCCTTCCTCTCTAAAACCAATAAACATACTCTGTAATCTGTAATATACAGATTACACCCAATATTAAATTTCTGAGTTGGATAATGCCTGACATTTCCAACCATTTCCAGTACATTCTGAACCGTCTCATGGAACTGCATGTTGAACGTGCTGTGTTTTAAGGGCTGGCTGTAGAGGCATGCCTCTGTCTGCTGCTTTCTCCTCCGCTTACTTGGTGGTCTTGTGAACAAGCCAGGCTTCGTGTTGATCATGAAGCTGCTCGAGATACGCCAGCTCAATTCCTCTCTCTTCTTCCCTGCCCCTCCGGTGTAGTCTCTCCAAACAAACCTAAAAGACAATCCCCAGGCCCTGCTGAGCTCATTTGTTTTCTTGGCTGTTACCAGGCAGGCTTAGGGGCCTCTCAGACCCACTCATGATGTCTGTCCTGGCACTGTAAGCCAAGACCTCACTTCTGCAGTCTTGTTCTCTTACTCAATCACAGGATAAGGGACATCATCATCCACCCAGGAATCTGGAATTCTCTTTTTTTTCTTCCTCCCAACCACATCTAGGAAATCACTGAATGCTCTTTAACGTCTCTCTAGTTCATTTTCTCCTGGCTTCTCTCTCACCTCTGCCCTGGCCAGGTCCTTACCATCTCTCACCTGGACTACAGCAAGAGCCTTCTGCACTCTGCCTCCTGGAGATGGTGAAATGTATGACAAGGCCCTGGGCCTTAAAGTCAGAAAGTCCAGGATTAAATTCCTATCTCCACCATGCACTAGCAGTGTAATCTCTGTGGGCTTCCATGTCCTCACCCTCCACTCACCCACAGGTGACTGAGGATTCACCCAGGTAAGGCACGTCAAGTTCCTGGTCAAAGCTGGTCTTTCCTCCCAGTCTGTCTGCTCAGTCTGCCCAGTCTGCCCTTCCATAGGACTCCAGTGGCCTTACCCTCCTTGCCTAAAATACTTCACAGTCTCCTTATTGCCTACCTGGGGTCAAGGAAGTATGAGTAGCATCACATTTACAAAAGGGTAAGTAACTGGAAACATCTCTTTCAAATCACAGCAAACACTCACTACAGCAGAATGTACTGAGTCAAAGCACAGGTCAAAGATAAAGAAGTAAAAAAAGTGATGTTTGGAACTACCTCTCCTTCCCTCCCTGCTTCCAGAGTGCATATTTCCATTCCGCTTTCACATGGTAGAAAAGTGTGAAGCACAATGGCTCAGAGCATGTCACCTCCTTTACCTGTCACAAAGTCACTCCGAGTCTGGCCCACCCCTCCTCTGTCTCCATTCTCAGCTTCCTTAGCTCTTCTCCTGGACTCACTGCTTTAGCCAGATTTGACCTCCTGCCTGCAGTGCAGACCATGCTCTCTCACACCTCCAAATTTTTGCTCCAAATGTCTGCTTTGCCTAAACTGCCTTCCTTCCTCTCTGCCTGGCAAACAATTCATTATTCAATGTCATCTGTCCTGGAAGAAGAGGTAGATTAACCCACTGACTCGGGACTTCCCTTTTCCAAACACTTAAAAAACTATTTCCAAATGTAAACTTTACCCCCAAATGTACTGCACCATATTCCCAAAGATGCAGTCTTTGCTGTTTCCCTTTTGTCCTACTGTTTCTCTAACGAGACAAAGTCGTAGACACAGATTTCATTTATGATCTTATGTTCAACTGTGCAAACTGATTAACAGAGACAGATCTAACATGTTAATACTTTTAGAACTTATACCTCTGGCCTCTCCCTCTCCCCTGAATTAATAATTGTCCCAAACTCAGATGTAAGTCCTTATACTAGGAATTCTATAATGTAGTTAGATAATAAGTAAGACAAATTATGCAAAACAGTGACTCAAGTGCTAAACTGTGAGGCCTGGGTTTACGTGCAGCAGTCAGATAAGGGAGAGAGCAGTTGGGCTCCAACAGTCCGACAGGTGTTTCCTGGAAGGAGCAGGAGCTTCCCCTTTATCTCTGGTACCAGCTCACTGAGCACTGCTCTGGGAGCCAGGTGTTGTGCTAGGCCCTTGGCAAATGCAGCCCACCAGTGGCATTTCGGCTGTATCGGGTGACAGAGGGAGGTCTGCACAAGGTGCAAGGGCACAGCGACTGGGGGGAGACCAGAAGGCAGGCCAGAGTTCATCTTGTTCAGGGCTGAGCCCTGGGCCTGGCAGAGTAGGAGGTCAGTAAGTATTTGCTGCATGTGTTCATTTAATGTTTTAATATCTGACTTAGTCTCTTTCTATCCGTTTACCTTTTCTCCCACTTTATCTTTTTCATTTCTACTTTCCTTCACTCTGAACCTGCCTTTTTCCTTCTTTCTTTCTACCTTTTTGCCCCTACATCCCCACCCTACAGCTGATGGTTTCAAGACATTTCCCCCCAAAAACACTACCCCCCCCCACATTTCCCTTTATTCCCCTCCCTCCCTATCACACAGCTTTACACCCCTGACTTCCAGCTACCCAGTTCTCCACCCCACTGACAACCAACCAATGGGACTAACTTTTTGTATACTTTTAGAAATATTTTATACACATTCTTAACCTCATCTTTTTTTTAAACATATATATAAAAGTTGTCCTACTATATATTCTGTTCACTTGGGTCATTTCCATTAATTTGCTCTTACAAACAATGCTACCTTGCACATGAGACACTTTGCCCATGTGAGAGCATATTTATGGAGTAAGTTCCAAGGAGCACAATTAATAGGTAAAAAGGCATGTGTACTCGCTAGTATATACTGTCAAACTGACTCCTTAGAGGCTAACCACTTTAAATGCCCACCAGCAAGGTAAGCTTCAGGATTTCCAAACACAGAAAAGCTACCTAAGTATCCTCTCTGAGAGAAAAATATTATCAGATTAATAAAAATGCATATTTTTAAAAATGTGACTTTATGTTTTCAATTATACACAAGGGGAGATCAATTTTTATAAAAGCTATATTTATTCATTCATTGCTGGCAGGCAAACATTGATGCTAAGGTCTCTCCTATTAAAAAAGCTAACAGTCCCCTTTTTACTATTAATTTGCTTAACAGAGCAAACTTTTCTTCCCTGTGGAAGTCTAGGTAAACTCCTATTTTGAGCACTTGGCATAATTCTTGCTTTACTGACATGGTTACAAAAATTCTTTTAAAAAAATCCTGTGCAAACAGTGCTTCAGTCTGGTCCCTCTTCACCTCAGTCCCCATGGAGAGGATACACCTGAATGTAGATAGGAAAGGTAGTGTACATGCAAATGGTAAGGGAGGGACCCTTCTGCCCATCTGCCTCACTTTCCCTCACCCCTCAGGAAAAGCTGCTGTTCAGACTGCTTGGAGGCAAAGATGGGAACTGGATGGTGACTGCTAGTGGGCCAGGCCACTGTGCTTCTCAAACCCAGGTGCCATCTGTTCCCAGGCATTTCCACACACTGTCTCCACGCTGTGAAAGGTGCCAGGCAGGGCCTAGCTCTTTGAGGCACACTGGTTGGCAGCACTCTCTCTTCCTGAATCCATGGGGTTGGGTGGGGAAACTGAGGCCCAGCCATTTCTCTTCTAATGTTTTTTATTGTTGGCTTGATTGCTTTTGAGGGGAGAAGGTGGAAAGAAGCAAAGGAACTACTTAGGTCCATCTCACATGCTCTGAACTCAGTATTTACCACGGCTCTGCATTGGAGTAGTGATCACTTGCGCAGCTTTGTACATAGATGTTTTAACCTCTGTTCTGCGCTTCTCTTGGATATAGTTACCTCTTAATCTCACAGAAGAGGTCAGCGTGATTTCGGGAAAAGGCTATCCGGATTCCTGGGTCCCTGGCACTAATCACATCAAATCAGCACCAAAATCCCCATCCAATCTCAAAACAAACTGAACTATTTTTCTTTTTCTACCATTAGGCCGAAATAATCCTTCAACTCCCCTCATTCTTCCCCAGCTGAAACACCTCATTAGTCTCTCCAAAAAGATGTATCAGCCACAGCAGGATCATAATAATAACCACCACCACCGTCCTTATCATTGCCTCTTCTCACAAAGTCATCTGGATGCACAAAGAAGTGAGTAAGCCTTTGTTGCTTTCCTTGCTGGGTCCCAGTTCAATCTCAACTCCCCAGAAACAAAACCTCTGCAGTAGCCAAGGGCCCTGGTTCACTCTCAGGAATGAGTCCACCCGCTGACTTGTCACCAACACTGTCTTCATGACACTGAGTTGATTATGTGGAAGTTGTTTCTCTTGGAAGAAGTTAGGTCAGCATTCTCACTCCTTCTAATGCTTAGCTCCCCAACTCACTGCTTCTTGTAGCCAGCCACCTTATGACTCCTACAAGAAACCCGTCACCTCTGCAAACTCCAACCATAGTCTTCACTCAGTCCCAAGGTCCACAGCCTCTCACTCCTCCTTGGCCCAGGACATGAGCCCTCATGGTACCAGGACTTTCCTCTCACCCTGAACCCTACACTTAGCTACTGTAAGCTATCTTCTTTGGCACAGGTCTTCTTTCCCCTAATCACTTGACAACCCCCCCTCATATATAACCACCTTCATAATATGCCTCTTCTGCTAACGATCCCAGACAATGAGGACTATCTGAAGGAGGTCATATAAAGGTGACCCAGCCAGTCAACTTGCAATAAATGCATCTAACTTCAGCTTGTTTCTTTTTACCGAAGGTTCTCAGCCCTGGGTCTCACTGCATCTCTACCTCAGTTTCACTTTAAACCTTAGCTCCTATTCATTTCTGTGGAATCTTTATTTCCTTCTACGATCTAGCTTCTGCCTCACAATCTCCAGAAACTCCTGACACAAAGACCCCAGCATTTAGTCCCATCACACTCCTGGCCTCGTTCCTGGCTGTGACTTCCCAAGGTAAGGCCCTTCTTTCCCGTCCTCTCCTCGCTGGCTCCAGTGAGGCTATGTGATGGGCGGGGCTCTCCCACCTGTTTTTGGGCCCTACTCAGCTCTCAGGCTTCCTCCTGTCCACCAGGCTCAGTCTTGTTTCTAAAAAGCAAGGCCTCTAGCCTGAAGAGAGTTTTCCCTCCTGATTATGTGGTCTATCTGGAACTTGACTATACATTACATATATGTCTCAAAGGCTGACAGCAACACATCTCTCAAAAATACCTCCTGCCTGACTCAGAATCCCACTCCAGAAGAGCCCTCAGAGATCGCTAGTCTGAATCACTGCATTTAGCAGACAAGAACCCTCCAAGGAAAGGTTTCCAGGGGCTGTCCATGGTCACTGCCAGTCAGCAAAGGCCAAGGACCACTGCTATCTTGAGAGACTTTGGTGCTCCCTCTATGACGTCACCCTATTCTATGCTAGGCTGGCTCCATGGTCCAAGTCAGTCATGGAAAGCAACTTCTGTAGTCCATCCTGCCTCACACTAGTGATACCCTCAAGGTTCAAAAAGGGGCTATAAATCAGGGCAGTACCAGGATGAGGTGAGGAAATCCTCCTGTTTGTCCCCACAACCCATTCAGGAAACAGTCAAGACCACCACAGAGGGAGGGAAAAGCTGAGGCAATTGGCTATAGGTCACCTGTCAGAGGGTTCAGCCTGTAAACCCTGGGTGATAAAGATAATGCCCAATTTTCTCTACGTTTTTGCTACATCAAGAGGGACCCTTTCTATGCAGCCAATTACTTTAGCCCTCTGTTGCAGAAAGTCTGTGGGAAACAGGGTGCTCGATGCTAGAATGCGAGAGTATTTACCTACTGCTCTCTGTGCTCCAGATAATACCCACAGTCTAATTTCTCCAACCAGGAAATAAATCAGGGACTCGGGGAACATCTCCTCTCAAGTTTAATATGGTCCTAAAGTCAAAGGCTGTGGGTTCTGTATTACCTGTGGAGTAGCCTGAAGGTAGATGAAGCCGTGTATTGGAAGCCGGCTAGAAAACTCCTGCAGGAGAAAAGAATGCCAGTCCTGATAGATATGCCACTCCAAATCACTGAGGGAGCCATTTTCAAACAGATTCTTTGCAAAGATATACCTGGTTGGAAATGTAAGTGGGGTGGGGGGAGGAAAGAAGAATGGGAAATGGAATGGGCAAAAGAGAGAAAGAAGCAGAAAAATCAACAACCAACATACTCCATGTCTGTTCAAACCACTTAACCCTTTTAGCTCCTTATCAATTTTGAAGAAATCTGAATTTTTAACCTATATCCCCCTCCTTGCTCAACACTAAGATGGAAAATAGCATCTAGACTTAAGAGGCCCAAATCACAGCTCTCCAGATGGTGAATCCACTGGAAGAAAGGGGGCCCTGGAAGAGCGTATTTATCATTGGTTGCTAACAATTTCTCCTGCTGGAAACCAGTCAGAACATACAGCAAATGGTACATGCACACTCCAACTTTTGAGATTTCCTTATTCTTACCGTAGCAGGCACCCAAACAAAATCCAATCTAGCATAAAGCACCCACCACATTTCATTTAAAGACTGAGGGCTTCAGAGTGTCCAGGCCGCTGAGCCAGACTGCTGTTTAGCTGAGAAGTGGAGAAGGGACCGGATTTCAGTGGCATCACCTATGGAGCAGGAAATGTATTTCCTACTCACTGCAGGATTACCAAGAAAGCAGACTTTCCTCCAAAGCACACACGAGCTCTTATTTACTTGCTTCATCTGCTGCTGAGCCTCTAATCTAGATATAAGAAAGCTAAATCTAAAAATCAACCAGTGTTGCCCCTTGCTTACTTCCACAAATAAAGGAGCATCTGGTAAATAGGAAATCAAAGCTGGCCAGAAACCATGGCTTCAGAAGGGTCAATTCTGCTTTCAAACTTCAGGTGCTTTTTTTTTTTTTTTTTATATATATCTTTATTGGTTTCAGAGAGAGGAAAGGAGAGGAAGAGAGAGAGAAACATCAATGATGAGAGAGTCATTGATCGGCTGCCTCCTGCCCACCCCTGACTGGGGATCGAGCCCGCAACCAGGGCATATGCCCTGACCAGGAATCGAACCCTGATTGCCTGGATCCCAGGTCGATGCTCAACCGCTGAGCCATGGCCGGCTGGGCAACTTCATGCATCTTGATACAAAACATAATTTACATGCTAAACAATGAATTGCAGTTTCTAAGGCAACACTCAGCAACTGACCACTTCTGAGAAAATGAAATTCAGAATCCTTGGGTACGAATGGCTCAGGGAAGTATGCGCTGCACGGCTGTATGTTGTGATTAGAGAATGGGCTGCAGAATCACATTCTTGAGTATGATCCTAGCTCCAAAAATTCACTAGCTATGTCACCGTGGGCACATCATCAAACTCTCTCAGCTTGTTTCTTCCTCTGTTTAAAGAGTGAACAGTAGAACCTAACTCACAGAGTTGTGTGAGGCTTGTACATAATACTCATAAGTACTTAGAGGAGTAAATGGCACAGTATTCAAGGCACGTAGTTGTCATTATACTACTCCTTTGCTAGGCTATGAAGAAACCAATTTGAGAGCTCCAGTGGTCAACACTCCTAGCTGAATTTTAGCTACAGCTGAGCTAAAAGTAAAAAGATGTGACTTCTGCACTGGCTGGTGTGGTCAGTGGTTAGAGCGTTGGCCTGCACACGGAAGGTCTCGGGTTCGATTCCCAGTCAAGGGCACATACCTGGGTTGCAGGTTCAATCCCTGGCCCTGGTTGGGGCATGTGCAAGAGGCAACCAATCAATGTGTCTCTGTTACATCTCTCTCCCCCATCCTTCCCTTTTATACTCTCTGAAAATCAAGGGGAAAAAATATCCTTGGGTGAGGATTACAAAACAAACAAACAGAGGCGACTTCTTTAACTCAATTTCTGAAAAATGTTTTCAGTGTCTTCACAGGTAACATGGAAATTAGGATTTTAAAAAGAGAAATTAAGTATCTGTTATTAAGCCCTACAAAAGGGGCCCTTGCCTCCTGAGGATGAGCACTTCTTTATGCCTCCAAAGCTGGTGGTGATGGGGAATGCTGAGAGTAGAAGGGCGTGGTGCTGAGCGAGGGTGCTGCTGCAGTCGGAATGCAGGGGCTGAAGGAATCAACTTAAGGGCCTAGCCGGCAGGGTCCTGCTCTAAATCCACATGCTATTGTTTCTTTTAACTCAAGTGGAAAAGATTTAGATTTCTTCCTCCCTATCATCCACTCACCCAAACAACCTGTGTTCCTTCTTTGGAACACACGTAACACACGAGCACATGTGCAGTCTCAGAGTTCCTTGTTAGACCGAGGTCGTGGTGAAGGCAGGGACTGGGCCTGTTTTGCTTCCTGTTGCAGCCCCCAGGCCTGGCCTGGTGTCTGAACACAGGCGGCACTCAGTGTATCTGTGCTGAGTGAACGCACATGAATAAATTTTTAAGAGTGGAAAGGCTCTAAATTACCATCAGGATTAGAATGTGTAATTGGTTATCCTTTCCATCTCAAAAATGCTCCCTCAGAAGAAAACATCTAAGATGTGGTGGCTGCCTACAGTGCAATTAATTCTCATTTCTTCCAAGTAAATGATAAGATCTTGTAGCTTCTAAACAAACTATTTCTATTTCTGAGGGGTCTCTCAAATGCCTACCTCACTATAGGGCTGGAGATAAAAAGACTGGTGGTGAGTACACTTCCAAGCAGCACAGGTGATTCTATGTAATTCATCTTCCTAGTCCAGTAGGCATGGCTCAGGAGAGGGGACAGGAAAATAGGAAACAGTACACCCAACAGGTGAAAAAGAACAAAATCTAGAGCCCAACCATTTGTAATTCACAAATTTAATTTTATAAAGAGTAGGCTCTCTTGGGGTACATATAACCCACAGGGTTTGTTTTACACATCATGCGGCATGATTTTAGGTAATACTGTAACTGATTAGTACATGACATTTATTTTTCCCTCCAGGAGGCTTCATGGGAGCCCTAAAAAGTAAAACTACTCTGTCTAACTTGGAATTAAATGGGTAACCAACTTAGTGTCTTCAGAAGTGAATGGACAATGAAAATGCAGTTGTTTTCCATTTTGGTCACTCAAAGGGGCTTAAGATAGACCATCATACTTTAAACCACCATCTCACAGTGACAGAGGTCATTCATGGCCTTCAGATCAAAACAAAACAGCAGTATCCAGATCAATGCACCCCCACTTGTCTCCAAATGGTTTAAGTCACAGCCTGGTCTCATGGCACAGCCAGAAATTCTGGAGCCTAGGTGGACTAGCTCCTCTGGAACCGATGAGCTGAATTCCCAAGCCAGCTGCTAGCCTTCATTAAAAGCGACTCCACATCTCACTCCCTCAGATGGCCGGGGCAATGGCCTTCCTGTGACTTGACATAGGCAGTGGACGTCCATTACAGACTTGCACCACCAATAAGCCCTGTCACATAGCAAGGGTTCAAAGGATAAATCTGAGACAGAAGCCAATTTCACAGATGAGCTATTTCTTCTTAGAAATCCTTTCTTGGAGAATAAAAAAGGATGAATCTCTCTCTCGTATCATTTTAAAAACACACATGTTTTATTCTGTCTGCTTTCTTTTTCAAGGTAATAACCAACCACTGAGCCACCTGGTTTCCTAGAACACACACTGCTTCTTAAGTGTCTGTTCTGTGCCTGTTAGCATGTAATGTTTCTATCAGGTATCTACCAGCTTGCCTCTGTGCCAGAAAAGAACAAGAAAACATAATCAGTGGCAATGTGGGAAATTAAGTGCATTTAGTTTATGAAAAATACAATTTTCTTTCTTGACATATATGACAGCCCTGTGGAACTGTGAGTCTCAACAAATCTGTACAGTGTTGTCTTTAAAAAGATAAATTTTTTTTAAAGTACAATGTTCAATGAATGACCAGACTAGTGTAGGGGTCTGAGCAAAAGGAGAAAACATGCAGCACTGAGCGTGAGACTTCTGACTGGGGTCTTACCTGTCACTGTACACAGACCTCTCAAAGATCTGTACCACTTTCTTGGCTTGGAAGACTTTCTCGGTGGGGGGCTCCAGCTGCATTTTCAGGCGGCTCATAAAAGAAAACGTCTGGAATGTGTAGGACCATCGTGATGGCTCCTGGTACATCAAATCCAGCAAGTTTCCAAGATTTGGGGTATTGTAGGCCTAGAGGGAAATTACAAAAAAAAAAAAAAAAAAAAAGGAGAATTTCCTAGAAGACATATTTACCTCATGATGTTTACTTTCTCCCCACCCCCTGCAGGTTTAATAATCAATTAGAGAAGCATTACAAAGGTTTCCTTTAGTCAATGCTACATAATCAAGGAAGAGGCTTGCCTACTTTATTAGACAAGAATCTGAGAGGGAGATGACATGCCACCTTCAACATACCGGAGAAGAGCTGAGGAAGGACCACACATGAAATTAGAACATTACTTAATGATTGATGGATTGCTGCAGTCTGTCTGAGGGGGAGTTTAACAATCAACAACCATCTACAACCCTACTTGGAAACAATGTTGTCCATTGTAACACTATGTTGCCTTCCTTTTGAGGGCCATTTGTGGCTATTTCTTTATAAAACTTCAACTCACAAGGGAAAGCAACTGATTACTTGAAAATCCCACCAACCAAATGGAAGGGCTACCATTTTTTAACATATAATACCCTCCTCCTTTCTACAGACTTTATGAAAGACATCTGAAGACCCCTTACTCAGCATGTGCAGGTAGGAGCATGTGTGGGACACTCAGGAGCCCTGGATTCTTTCCTGGGCTCTGCCACTGACTCAGGGCAAGAGTAAGTTTGTGCAGGCACTTTGGATTCACATTCACTCAGTCACCATTAACTGAGGGCTATGTGAATGAGGCATTACATGAGCTAGGTGCTGAAAGGGGTACAGGAAACATTAACTAAGATTAATTTCTATGTTCATTGTGCTATGTTATCTCATTTAATTTTCAGAACAGCTTCATGAGGTAGGTACTACTGTTATGCCCATTTTCCTGAAGAGAAAATGCACTCTGAAAGGTTAAGTAACTTCTTTATCCCAGGTCTCATGGTGAGTAAGTGCTGAACGAGGGCGCAAACCTGGCTTCCTCTCACTTCTTCATTCTAGTATCTCTCCACATAGGGGAGGGGTCCCAGGCAAGACATGGTTCCCAGGCTCAAGGAGCTCATGATGCAAAAGGAAAGGGGGTGACAAGGATATAAAGACCAAGAATATAAGCAGAATATGTGAGGAAGGGTTGATTACTTATGGTGGAAGGAATCCGAGGAAATTTCTGGGAAAAAGTGGTATTAAGCTACATGGAATGATATGTGGAATTTTCACAGATGGAAATGGGGATTAAGAAGAAAGCATTTCAGGTAGGGACAGAGATATAGGAGGGGGGAAAGGGTCAGATAACCACAAGTGGTCCAGTACGGCTAAATATCATCCCTACATTCCAAAAAAGGGTCCCAACCCTTTGGAAGGTTTCAGCAAGAGCAATAGAGGTAGAGCAGAGTGAATCACAAAATGACTTCCCTCTTTCCAATCCGCCAAACCACAAACACACCAGCCTCATAAGCGGTCCCTGGCTAAGAGCTGGAGGTAGAAGCAGGGGGACAAATCCAAATCAACTGGAGTCTCTGATGTCACTAGACTGTTGTGTGCCACAGTTCTGAGATGGCATGGAAGCCCACTGAATGAGTGGGGTGCTGTGCTGACAGGTGTACTAGGTTGACTGGGTGGGGGCTATTCCACCAGCAGGCTTGGGCCACCAAAGGGAGACTCGTTTCAGAACAAAAAACTGCACAGGGGCCTATACAATTTCTGAAGAACCATCTCAGCTACAGAACAAATGCAAACAACACTTCCAACATATAAACAAATGGAGGAATAATCATTGGATATAAAAATATTCAGCAATTCAAAAGGAGAGGATCAATCTGTGTGCTCAAGAGAAGCAGCCTTTTAGGAGACAGCTGTTGCCAGGAACAGGAAAAAACAGAAGAATCTCATTGAGATTCAAGAGATTGCCACATTGATAAAAACAGGCTGTCATAAAAAAAGGAGCAATATGAAAAGAACATTCTTCGTCTTAGAGGAGAAAAATACAATTTCCAAAACAAACACCCAATGAAGACAGTAACTAGTAGATTGCAAACTGCAGACTGCAGCAAACCTGATGACTGAATATCATATGAGTATCAGCTCAAGAAATTCTCCCTAAAGAGGGAGAAAAAAGCAGAAAATTATGAAAAATGAAAAGACATATATGCAGGTGAGAAAGACATCCAGTATATATTGTAGTACTGTGGTAGGGTTAGTTTTTCTTTTTCTTTCTTTACTCTGGAAAGATGCATCAAGATGTAACACCACCTGTACTATACCTCACAGCAATTAATTAAATTTAGACTCATTCGAAGTTTTGAACAGGGGCTAAAATGATCTAGAACTTCACAGTACTGGTAGCTTAGACAAAGCTACCCAATCAAGGAAACAACTTTTCTTTTTGTGTGACAAGAGTTCAATACAGAGAAATGAAATACAACCCCCAATAAAAAGAGAGATGAGCAGAGGAAGACACTCCTCAAAGACTGCACATCAAATTTTACATCACTGAGAATCACTGTCTAATAGAAACACTTTGTGTCTCTAGGTATTTAAGAACAGAAATAAAGCTTAAAATCATGGTACAGCTAGGAGTTATATTCAGAGGTAACTGACCAGATGAAAAAACCTAGTCAGTTAACTTAAAAATTTTCTTTAAAAAATTAAAGAAAATTTCTGAGACACAAGATTTTCCACCAGAGAAGTTCACTGAGTACCAGAAAAAAAAATTTATATATATTTATATATACAGCTTACACACACACACACCTGGACCTGGCAAAATGTCAACAATTCATAAAAATAAACAAAACTGTAACAAGGAGGAAAAACACAAATCTCAATCTCTCTCTCTCTCACACACACGGATCAGAATCACATAACACTTACCTACAACAGAAACTACTTTTTACATTCCAGAGCAAAAGAAAGGCCTCTTTTATTTTTAGACAAGCAATCACTCAAAAATTATTCCACCCACATACCTTTTCTGAAAAAAATATTTCTCTGAAATATATTTCAACCAATTAAAACATTAATCAAAATAAAGATTTAAGAAATGGGAGGATGTGGTAATGAGATAACAATGGTCAATGATCAACCACTAGAACAGAGTTAAGTATAAAATAACTATTGTTAATGTGGTGGTAAAGTTTAATGCCAATTTCTATTGTTAAGAGAGAAATTTCACAATGTAAACACATTCTGGAGCTCTAAAATTTCAGCTGACTTCAATTTGGCTGGGGGATGGAGTCTGGAGAAAATGGTAATAAAAAGAGTAGTAGAGTTGTGTGTTTTTTCTTTTCCTCCACAGAGAATCCATTGACATTGATAGGTAGGCTTAAACATGTGTATTTTTAAAATTTAAATGTTTATGATGGAATAAAAACTGTAAATTTGCCATACGAATGAAGGGGAGAGAAATGAAAGACAACTTCAAATATAGCAAAAAGAAAAAAATGGAGATGGAAGCAAAAAATAAGGTGGCAAGAATAAATTAAACATAATCATAATAAAAGAGAAAAATTTCCAGGAAAGGCAAACTCTAAGATTGGGTAAAAACTAAAAATCCTGTTCATAAAAGAAACACCTAAAACAAGATGACAAATTGGTTGAAGACAAAGGGACAGAAAAACCTGCCAAGTAGATGTAAATTTAAAAAAAGCACTTGTAGCAAAACTGTATTAAGAAAAAAGCATTAAATGCTGGAAGAGGTTTTTTTTTTTTTAATAATAATAAACCAATAATGAGTCCACAAAGAAGTAATGAACCTTTTTACATGGAATAATAAAGCATTGAAATACATAAATATAGGAAAAAGTCAAAAATATAAGAAGAAATGGACAAAACACAAAAGCATAAAGCTTTAAATAACATATTTCTCTACAATTTAATATAAAAAGTAGAATTTAATATAATAAGAACTTAGGGAATAAAACTAGAAATAATTTTTTTCACATATGTGAAACCAGGATATATCTTACAATGTTCACTAAATTAAACTTAATAGATATTGTAATTATTCCATAGAAGTTATTAAATTCACTGTGTCCTATGATCAATGGCATTTTAGAATTTACAAAATATGCCACATCGAACTCCATAACTTACAGATAATACATATTCTTCTTACAAGTCCAGGGCACATTTACCAAAACTGATCATATATAAAAACTAATCATATGTAAACCATGAAGAAAACCTCAGTAAGTTCCCTCAGTTAGAAACTATATAAGCCACACTGTCTAATCATAACAAAATTAGAGAGACACATTGATTGGTTGCCTCCTGCACAAACCCCGACCCAGGCCGGGGATCGAGCCTGCAACTGAGGTACATGCCCTTGGTTGAAATCGAATCCAGGACCCTTCAGTCCGAGGGCCAATGCTCTAACCACTGAGCCAAACTGGCTAGGGCTCAATTCATTTTCATAACTCTGATGGTAAAATCTGTCAAAAACTGTACACAAAATAGTAATGCCAATTAAACTTACAAATATACATGCAAAATTCCACACAACATATTAGTAAATTAATGGAACAGTACACCATGATCAAGAGCTCATTCTAGAAATGTAAGATGGCACCATTATCAAATCTATGACTAAGAGATTTATTTTTATTTATTTATTAATATATCTTTATTGATTTCAGAGAGAGGAAGGGAGAGGGAGAGAGAGAGACAGAAACATCAATGATGAGAGAGTCATTGATTGGCTGCAGCCCGCAACCCCGGGCATGTGCCCTGACCGGGAATCGAAACCCGATCGCCTGGATCCTAGGTCGACGCTTTAACCACTGAGCCACGCCCGGCTGGGCGACTAAGAGATTTAAAAAGAGAAACCCCATGGTTATCTTACTAGATGTTAAAAAGGCTTTTGATGAAAGTGCATTATCTGATTCTATTGCAATGAATAACAATATTAGAACGTAACACTGATACAGAATATGTAGTTGCATTAAAGCCAGAACAAGATAAGGGTGACTACCACCACGGCTATTATTTAACATTGTTCTGGAACTTCTACCCAATGAAAAAAACCAGAAAATACAAATGAGATATGGATATT